AGCTAGATTTATTTTACATACAGTAAAGGCTCAGTTTAGTCTAATTTATGTATTTATGTCTGTTATATAATATTTGAATTAACAACCTGTTTGACTGAAACCACAGCTCCATATTTAGATTTTAGAGAGTTTAAAGGCTGAGCAAACACAGAGGTCTAAAATGAAGGTTTTTATTATGTATCTGGAGTCAACTTTTTTTTTTATGCAGAGCAATACATTTACAATGCATTAATGTAATACATGACGTTACAGGGTTTTAATTCTGTAAGTGATGGTCTAGTTAGTGCGACCTTATCAAAGTTCAAGTGATGATTTATTGATAGTGAACAACAGGGATTCAGGAAATTGTCTGCATTTATTCATGAATTTAATCATCAAGAGTGTTACAGTGAAGTATTAGTTAAGTGAATCATTTCTACCCTTAAACTGGGAAGGACTTCCCAAAATCCCTCTCCTCTAAATCTGCATAATAAATGCCCCTTGTCAACAGTATATCATTTTACATGGAATTATTCGATAATCTGACATCCATGGATCAGCACCAGGAAGTGGAGCTATAGTTAGTTTAGTCCTGTGGCTCCTTCAAAGGGTCACAAAATAAATCTAAGGGGTCATTTGATACTTAATGCAAGAGGAGAGAACAACAACATTGGTATTCCCATTTTGCGTTTGCTCTTTCAGTCAAATATTGAGGAGATTCACCTCTTTGAACCCAAACAGTTATGTAAAGGAACAATTTATAGATATAAGGGGCGCAGGGTCAAGAGCTAAGAAGAAAAAAAAGGCATTAGTTCTCTCCAAAATGCTGTCAAGTGGAAGTTTAAAGTGGCAGATAATGGAAGTACTTAAACAAGCACCTGTGCAGTGAAATAGACAAAAAAAACTTCTTGAATAATTATTCATTACATTTCATCACAAAGATTTACCCAAACTAAATCCTTCAAGATTTGGACAAGAGGGATACAAATTGATAAAAAGAGATCTTAATATGATGTCAATATGTTTTGTTCTGAGGATGAAAGATGAACTGAACTTTAGTGGGAGTCTTGTTTTTAAAGGTTTCTATAAAAGCATGAGTGGGCTATTCAGTCTATTGTTCACATACTGAACAATAGACATGGAGTGAAAAAGCCTCTGGACAGACAGACTGTGTTAGAGTATCTGGAACTCGTGGTGTGTAACAGTGCAGAGTTGCTAATATAACATCCTCATTATTTTCATATCTGTTGAAGAACTGATGAAATCTCAAAGGGAACAATACAACAGTTTGGTTCCATCCACTGCCAAAGACGTCACTGGTGCCGCTGTTGACCTAGAAATTGTCCCTGGAATAATCAAATATACATTAAATGTATCCGCCTGCCTGGAAAAAGTTCTCTGGATGAGCTTCAAACAGCATGCAAGTGTCTGTGATCTACCAAATGAACTGTGTGGTTCTTATTAAAGATCTGACGAGAGTGCAGATCCAAGAGGGTTTCCATTTTTACTTGCTAACCATTATTTCCCCCTCTCCTCCTTCTCAACCTCCCATTGTGGTTATTTGAAAATGTGTCTGCTGAATTTCATTCCCCAGTATTTGATTTTCACGCCTTGCTCACGAGGAAAAGATTTTCAAGTTTTACTGTCGGCAAAATGTCAGTAAAACAAAAGGATACAATGTCTACATTGACAGCTTACCATCAAATAAATCCTCGTTTGCAGAGGCACAGCACAGACTGGAGACGCTGTTTGTGCGTCTTTAGCCTGCGAGTAGAGAGTGGTGACAGGTATTAAATCAAAGGATGTGACAAAAATCTGAAAATGCCTTTCAGCCGCATGAACAGTCAAGAGCACCGTGCTCCTTATTAATATAGCACTCGTCTCTAATGTCTTTGTCTTTGCACTGCCTTTCAGTATCTTATCTCTTTAGCTTCAGCCCATTCATCATTTGTTTTTATTGTAGAAATGGGTTTTCTCACATTAGGTCTCTTTGCAACACCTACACATTTTCTTTCTTCTGTCATCTGCTGGATGTGACAGGGATATGACTTTAAGAAAAGCTCTTTGTGTAATATCAGACATTGGGATTACTCAATCCTTTTAAACAACAGATCTGTGTTGCATACTGTTTGCAGACATCAAACTTTTACTCACATATGTAATGAAATATTTGCTGTGGTTCAGATCCAACCTGCTGCTACCTCTTGGAAAGTTTTTATTCATGTGGGGGTGGATGACTAATAAAACCAGTTTGCTTGTGGTGGTCTAAGCTAGCTATGGATGCTGTGAAAGAGTGAGCGAGCGAGCATGGCGTGGGTGAGGCTTCCTATCTATTGAGGGACAGAAAACACAGCAGCATTGCACTCGCTCGCAGAGTGAGCCCACTTCAGCTCCCCATACAGCTCCCATTGATGAGAGCGCCACTTTTCGCCCCCGTCTCCCCCATTGAGCCGCATATCATGCATTAGATGCTGGAAGAGAAGCTGCAAAAAAGAAAACAGACAAATATAGGAGAGGTCACTCTGTGAGCGCTTTCCTGTAAGACTTTTTGTTTTTTCATTTCCATACACTATATTTATCCTGCTGCTGTAAATGATAAGCTGTGCAGGATAATGCCAGGTTGACGAGGATGAGGTGTCCATAATCAGGATTTAATTGACAAAGGTGGAGGTCAGAATGATTGCTTCTGCAAAGTCAAAATCTAATTATGGACAAATCAATGTGCATCATCCTGCATCTATCATGATCACTTGCTTAAGTAGAACTATACAACCTTTATTTATAAGCGCTAGCTGTAACTCCACCCTTTTTCCTAGTGATGCATGAAGGACTGACTAATACCTGAAATCTCATTCCCATCCCATATGTACAATGAAAACAATGTTCATCCTCCAGGATCTAGAATGAGTCTTTGCCAAGACTTGAAAACAGGAGATATTTCTAGTACAACGTAGCTCATGTAGCGCTTGGGATCAACTTTCAAGCAAGATTCAAAGTCAATCATATTGGGTACAGCTGACATAAAGTAAATGTTTGACAGTTGGTTTAACAACAAGACAAGACTAACTAGCTAACTTGTTTCTCCCCACCTCAACATTTTCACAAACTAATAACTGGCCATGTTCACGGTTCAGGCTGGATATCGGATGGAATGAGAATTGATCGTTGGATGTGATCAAAGTATTAAAAAGTTAAGAGGAGTAGTTTATTTCTTTCAGCTTGTGTTACATGCACACAAGCTTGATGAGACGTTGTCCCTGTTGCCATGGTTACTCATTTTTGGTTCTAGCTATTAAAACAACAGCATTTTGATTTAGAGTGGTAAACAGAGACAAGAACATAACATCTTTCATTGGCATCCAATTTTCAAGAGTTAATTGACACCCTGCAGCCAATCAGAATCGGGTATTCACCAAGAATATGGTTGGTAATGGATGTTTCATTCTGTGCTTCTTGATCTCAGTGAGGGATCAATACTGTCTCTAAATTGGACCTTAAGGGCACTCAGTGGTTTAGGATACTGCTGTGGGGGAGACAAATGTTGAGGTTGGTTGGCAGGAAGGGGAAAGAGAACTGGATGTGCATGATGGTTTGTCCAAGTCTTGAGGGGGAAAAAGTGCTGTTCTCATTTTGTTCTGACATCCTGACTTTAGAAAGCGGGCATTGTTCCTGACACTCACAGCTCTTTGGCAGTTAAAGTCACCTCGAGGCAAGACAGTGAGTGATGCCAAAAGACGGTTTAGACCCATGCCAGTTACAGCGGAGGCCTGAGTCTGCAGCAGTGAATAGTCAATATAACGCACAATGATGGACAAATGCTCTGACAGGCCTCTGTTTCCACAAAATCCATGTCTTGTTCAGAGGTTTCCAACCTTTGTTGTCTTATGTGACCTGACAGCCCATCAGATGAGCAATTACTGCCTCATCGACCCTGGCCATAAGTTCCAAATATGCTCTTAAAGTGCTTTTATAAACTGGAAGTAACAGTCCTTTTCTCACCTCTATACCTTCTTATTACGAGCAAGTCGAACTTTCTAATGCTTTGACCTTCTTAGCTTTTTTTTCCATCTCAAATGTTCAATATAATTCTCCCTGGTTGATGTTTTCAAAACATGCTTTTAAAGTCTGCAGGCTACACAGCCATCAAACTGCATTTATTAAAGCTTACAATTTCAACCTTCAATTCCCACTTTAAGCTAACTATTTCAGATGCTAATCCATTACTTTTAGCTAGCTATTTACACTGTTATTCCTTACTAATTGAAAACTGTTCATTCATTTCTTTTAGTAAAATACTTCAACCATTTAGCTCTTACTTTTAGCTAATTATTTCATCAGCTTTTCCATTAGTTTTAAAGAATTAACTATTTTTACTTTTCCTAAATGGCTGTGACAGAAATAGCTACTACAATGTAGGTACACCCTTTTGTGTGCTGTGTGAATATAAGAATTAGTTCACTATTTAGTGGACTCAGAGTATCTATCCCACAATGCTTTGTAAAAAACGTGAATAACCCGGGGTGCCTGTATTCTAGTGGTTTGTGCCCCCCATGTGCTGAGGCTATGGTCCTCCAAACAGGTGGCCCTGGTTCGAATCCGACCTGTAGCTCCTTTCCTGCATGTCATTCCCCACTCTCTTTCTTCCTGGTTTCTGACTCTAGCGACTGTGCTATCTTTAATTAAAAACATAAAAAGACCAAAAATGAACGGTGAACCTTTAAAAAACAGTGAATAACCCATGGTCACTAACCAAGTCTACTGAAGCATTAGAATCACACCAAGTTGCTATCCTCCATGACTGAATATTTTCACATAAATATCTGAACGTTTTGATACAAAAAGTATATATAAATCCCTTTTTCTTTTGAAAACCAGCTTTATTTGCTTAATGGAGCTTTGATCCACTTGAATCCTCAGATTCACCAATTTGTGTAAAAAAAAAACATGCATGTTCAGAATCACTGCACGAGTCTCCTTTCATAAAACAATAAAGGAATGGATAAGACACATGGCAGAAGATGTCTCATTATTCATGCCAAATGTATTTATTGACTATATTTACAGCACACAATAAACAAAAGTAAACGTCCTGACAATTGATTGCAACTTCATGTGACGTACAATGTGACAATCACCTTTATACTCTCTATAAAGTGTCCACTTCTCTCTGTTTGAGGTCTGGATGAATTTCTGGTATATTCCTTGGAAAGCAATCACATAAAAACCCACTGGCTGACTGTTTTTCTGTTTTTCCAAGAAATTAATTCACAATAATACACAATATGTTATAGCACTGACAGAGAATACAGCTACTATTAAGGTAAAATAAAACTGCTGTCAACGACTATGGTAAAAGGTAGGTAGTTCTTCAATTTAATGAGCAGAGTTTTTTCATGTAGGTACAGCAGTCTTTGTGGAAGAGCATTCATCTTTCTCTGCACAGTCTACTCTTTTTGTCTTGTTGTTGTGGAATACCTCGGTGGAACTGTTTCAGTCTGATCGATATGCAGTCCAAGTAATGCTCTATCACCTCACCTTGTTTTCTTTGTCTTTTCTTTTTGCAGACAGCCCCCACCTTCAGGGGAGTTGAAGAGATCTATTCAACTCGTTCTTTTTCTTTCCCAACCGTCTTTGCCTTGTCTTTCTCTCTTTCTGACCAGCTTCAGTGTTATACATGTCCAGGTTTGGACAGGTAGGCTATGAGGGCCACCACCACCCCCACATACATCCCAGTCCCGACTGTGATGGAGAGAGCAGCCAGGAACAGGGCTCTTCTTGAGCTCATTCCTGCTCTGGAGAAGTCTCCCTTAGAGATGGCCTTGCCAGTCTGACAAAAAAAAAGAGAAAAAGGGGAGAGAGAGGAATGAGCTGGTGTGTTACTCATCAGCACAGAGTGTATGAGTAGGTGTTCAGCCACAGTTAAAAGAGAGAAAACAAGAAATGCTCTTGGGGAGCCATTAGTAACTATGGCAATTAGGTCATTATACCTCTGCTGACAGTGACAAATGTGTTGTTTGGGTGTTTGGGTTTCCTATCAAAAAATGAGCCTGGCCTTTATTCATTCTTTTGACACAATTTTTTTTAGTTCTGGTATAATTGTCTCTAAAATTAATGTGGAAGATGTTGCAAAAGCACTTGGATATGCTGTGCTTTGAGGTTGTAGGGCAGAATTTGACAAACTAGGGAGTGTACGACAAATGAGGTCTTAGGAACAAAGGTAAAAATGATATAAAGTAAGTGCTCTGCTCAGACAGAAACTTACTCAGAATAACGAATGGGGCATAATTTTCGAATATTATAATAATCATTAAAAATCAAAGTGTTCATGCAACTTTAATTATATTTAAAAAATGATGTTTTAGTTATTTTTTGTAGATTTATTTCTGGGCTTTTTCTGCCCTTATTGTAGAGATAGGACAGTGGATAGAGTCTGAAATCAGGTGGAAAAAGAATGGGGAATGACATGTGGAAAAGGAGCCACAGGTTGGATTTGAAGCTGGGCTGCCCACTTGGAGGACTATAGCCTCTGTGCATGGAGCACACACACTCACCACTATGCTACCTGCGCTCCTTTTTCCATTTGTTTTAGCGGCGTAATGCAGTACTGCCACCAGACAGTGGATGTAGTGCATTTAAAAGCTGTTTGCTGACCGCCAATGAATAACAGAAGAAGAAATCATTAGTGTCAGGTAACACAACTGTAACATTACGGACTAGAGATGCTAAGAAACTAGCTTATCATCTTAAAACTAAAGGAATTATCCATTGTACTCAACATTGTTCAGCACAATAGTTTGTTTCTTTTGTTAAAATTACAACAGTTAAGAAACTAAATGTGTTTATTGTCCATAAGGCACCAGCCACACTGGTCTGTATTAATACAGCGAAGTTAGGAAACTAATGTTCCTAACATAGATCTATGTGTACATCACTTTTTCAGTGTTTTTTTTATCATTTCAGTCATAATTATCGTCTCTCCTGTTCCACTTGTGCACATAAGAGTACAGTGTATAGTAGTCTAAACCTGCTGAATTTACGTAGTCAATCATCTAAAACAACTGCAGTGTGGGTCACAGGGTGGAAAATAAGCTGAGGTAGCACTTGTCCGAGTGTCTGCGCTCGCTGACCTTAAATAGAATGCGTTGTAATCAGAGTTAATGACAGGCTCGAGCTCTGTGGGTCTTTACCTTGTGAGAGTAGTAAAAGGCAACGATGCCCAAGGGCCAGAAGCAGCAGAGCATGGAAAAGATGGCGAGGCCCAGGTAGTCCCGAGGGGGCAATACGATGAAGTTGTCCTCGCTTTCACTGTCACTGGAGCTGTCACTCTGGAAGACAGCAGGATGATGAAGAGTAATTAAGAGTCAGAAAAAAGAAGATGATGATATGATGCCTTTTTTATGACTGGATTAAAAAATCAAATTTGACAATTTGTAAGGCAATCCACACATTGAAAACGTTGATAAAAGTTAACTACATTGATATTGAGTTTGCCACTAAAGCAAAAAGGAAAGATGTTGTGTTCAAGAGTCTGACGTATTTTGGTTGTCTTGGCTGGGTATAGCTTCACAACTTGCCCCCCCCCCCCCCCCGACCAGTGTATCAACCCTTGTTCCTCTGCCACCCAGGAAAGGATGTGCTTAGCCAGCCGGAGAGGATTTGGTGCTTCTGTCAACACCCATGAGCGGCCTGACAGATAACACAGGATTAACGGATTGTCCCATCATTGCACGGTGACAGGGGAAACAGCAAGACGACAGTGTCATTTATGTGCTAGATTGCCTCTACAACAAGCGAGACCACCCGCCATCTCTGCTCAATACACCTGTTGTCTTTCAAGGCTGTGACTGTTCAACAAGCTCTGGCTTCTATGCCATGATGCTGAAACTCATGGGCCACAAGGGTGGAGTGGTCAAATGAATGATAGATTTGCCACATGGGTACATTGACACATGGTGCCTGCAGCAAAGAACGCAATGTGACTGCACGAGTGACCTTTGAGGGGACGCTGCTTTTTTTCTGTCTGCCGTCCCAGACACAGAGTGGATGTCTGTCTGAATAAATAGCCCAAGGAATGAGCAGGTTTCATTTGTTAGTCTTGTTGCCTTTAGGGATCAATCAAAGGGGGGGGAAGAGACGGCACAAAATCGAAATCGATATGTAAGGCAGGAACTGAACCAACCATTTTCGAGGTAATTAAAGTACAGTCGGGGAGGCAGGCAGGCAAAGTAATGAACCATACGTGTTCCCTAATTTAGTTCCTGATCTGCTCTGCATTTACCAAACCATGCAATCTAATATAATTATCTTGAGCTATTTTGGGAGAGTTTCTGAGTAGAAACCTTACAGTATTCTGATGTTAGGGGGAAGTAGAGGACAGCAGTGCTATGCGACTCAATTTCCAAAGGGCTACCGTGGTCAAGGAAAAAACTATGAAGCGACCTGTTATCTGCTTTATGAACACCGTCCACCTGGACAGCCGTGTGTAATGCATCAAAACAGCAGCTGGTCATAACCACATAATCTGACATCATGTGAATAAACCTGTGGGCAACAAACAGCAGTAATCTGCTTTTATCTTTGTAGCAGGAGTTGATAACAGATGTGAGTGACGGCTGCATTCAGTCCCTCTGACAGCCGATCTGACACCCAGTCTGGCTGACTGGGAATGGAATCCCAGCCTAGTCTGAAGCAAGCATTACTTGTGATGGTTCTTCCACAGTGCCACAGTGCCTTTAACAACCCTGTCACAGCTTTCTCCGAGGCCTTGTTAGAGTCTAGAGGGGCTTCAGTCGACTCAAAAGCAGGGCACACACAGACTCCTGCACCCTGTTAGTCTGGGCTGTCACTGTGGAATCCTCCACACAGTCTTCTTACTTTGTTACCTGCAATTTATTATTTCTCTGTCACACAGATGTCAAACATTATGCTGACAAAAACTAGCTGTGGAATTACAATTTAAAAGCTACACTTCCCATGGGGGTGTCCAAACTTGTTCGACTGGACTGCATACACTGAAGCCTTGACTTGTACAGGGTTTGCACAAGGTGTGTGCTCAGATAAGTCTGAATAGCAATTCATTGTAATTTCTGTCCCCTCTAATCATAACTCAAATTAAAAACACTCAACATTATAGCATCATTTTTTTTTTAAAGGCTCATAAACAAGATGTATCTCCAAAGGTTATGGTAAGAATACCAACCAAAGAAAATGTATTGCCAACAATGTACCAACAGTCTGTTGCAACATAGGCCAATAAACCGATTTAAGCCACTCTGACAGAGCATGTAGCCAATCAAAGTTTTAAGAGTGATGTCTGGGTTTGCCAATTAAAATTTCAGGGGCTGATACCATCCCCTGGATGGGCCTCAAGCTACCTTGATTTGTATTGTTGCTGGGTACCATGAAATTGTTGAGGGGTAATATTATTGGAAGTTAGGACCATTGAAAATATCATATCTATAAAATCCAGGGAAAAAAAATATGTATGTAATTGCCACAGACTTTACTCCTGAACTCAAGGATGTGTACAAAACCTTCACAACTGCTCTTACAACTTCCTTATCTTAAGTCTTGCTTAAAATAAGCACACATACACAGACACCAAAGAATGAAAAGTAAAGAATGCAGATTCTGAGCAGAAGGTCTCGTGTCACAGCTTGGAGAACCTGAGCTCTGTTCACATCAGATTCATTTGTGCTTTTGATTTGACGGGGAATAACTTCATCTCCAAGCTATACCTGCTCCGACAGCACTGCATCAGCAAAGTCCGGCACAGCATCACTTATTGCATTAATGGCAGTTGCTGCCATGTCTCTATCTATCTGCTCGGCCTGCGAGTGACAAGAACTGGCGCGATAATCAGCCCTGAGAGGTCGCTATACTTCTTTCTCTGCCAGCTCAGAGCCCTCAGTGTTTTGAAAATGTCTCCGGATGAAATTAGATTTTTATCACTTCTGAAAAAGCTATTTTTTTCTGTCATGGTTTCATTTGGAGGGAGAATCATAGCCCTTAAAGAAAATTATAGTCTTAAAAGATCATCTCAGATGTGTCATTTTCTTACAATGCAATTATAAAACAAAAGCGAACAATTACTCCACAATAGATTTAGAAAGACTCCAGTAAATTGACCATTTAGAGAACAGAGTGAGAAGTGAGCGTGAATCATGCTGGCAGTCTATTAGAATGAAATAATAACCTTCACTTTATGCTTCATGACTCACTTTCTGCTGAAAGATGGCTCCTATAGTTACAAGTAAGTGCTGTAATGCCTTTTATATCATAAAGCAACTCAATGTTCTAATTACTCAGTGAAAGACTGTCAAACGTCTCTATCTTTTTTAATCAATTGTCTCTTTAATGTGTTTAGTTGGAGTAATTATTCCCATATAGCATGTAGCAGGAGTGAGAGACTTCATGTATAGCTTCTCCTGAAACCCATAATCTTGCTACAACAGGAATACATATACAGATTGTGGAGACCTATATATTTTCTTTGTTGTGATCTCTGACCTCGTACTCGGGACCCTGCTCCTCCTCCACGTCGTACGACACAGTCTGGATCTTTTCGTCCTTCTCTCCTTGTGTGCTGGCCAGGTTTATCTCCGTGGAAACTCCATCCACCACGATGTCCTTACTCTCTGTGAACGTGGTCTCAAAGCTCTCGCTCTTGGAGTCCTTGCTGTGCAGACTTATGTCGTCCTTGTACAGGATAAAGTTTGGTCTGTAAAAGGCCTCCACAGCCAAATGCAGGGAGGTAGCATCCAGGAACTGTTGAGTCTTCTTGCCATTAGTCTCCGTGTAGTAGTAGCCGATGAGGCTGTCCTGGTAAGGCTGGCTCGGGTAGTCACACTGGTAGCCCTGGTAGTCGTTGTGTCTGGTTTTGTCAAGCAGGGGGTTCTGGAGCTCACTCAGGCTCTCCATGATGGCAGGCTCAAACGTCTAGGGGATCAAAGCGGGAGGTCCAACAATGATTTGGCAGTCTGGAGGCTGGAAATGTAAATACAGTTATAATTACAAACTATAAAATACAGAAATAGCAGGGAGTTCAATCAAACTCAACATATATACATGTTGCTTTTTGTTGTAGTGAATTCAGAGCAGGACATATTTCATCTTGTCTGCATTCCTCTCACAAGCCAGTCTGAGCCATGAAATCACCATCTGCTGTATGTTCAACTGTTGCATCTCAGACCTCCAGATTCCTATAAACACACAGGGGGAAATATCTTCCACACGCCGAGGCTGCCTAAAAAGCAGGAAAAGTGAGGCAGGTGCTGCTGTATTTTGCACTGCATACCAATCATTTTGACACTCTGTGGTGTGGGCTTGCTGAATAAATCCAGACACCGTCAAGTGCAACTGAGAGACTAATAAGAAAAAAAATCTGTTTTTTTAGGGGTTACTAGTATAAAATAACAACAACACTGAGATCAACAAGTATTCCAACAAGAGGCTGTGTGATCTATTGTGCAGGTCTAGTTGGAGTTAAGCAAATGCACTGTTTTGTTTTGCAAATCCAGGACCTTTTTTGCCCTCAATGACCACATTTCTAAAAATATTTTTTCATCCATGTCAAACTATGATGTGTGAATTAGCCTCTTAGGCAGCTGCATCTTTGATGGGAAGAGTAAAGGAGTAATTTCATGCTATTAAGTTATAAGTGCCGTCGTGATAATTTTCCCCCGGGTTGAGTTTATATTTAAAATATGTCAAATATTTGACTAATAAGAATAGAAGTAGTAGGCAGTGGCCTGAATGTGATGCTTTCCAGGGATCTAGAGAAGATTTGTAGATCTACAGCAGAACCTTTAGCCTCTGCGACCCCGAGGGAACAAAAGCTTGTGCAGTGAGTCCCAGAGCTGCTGGAGTAGAGTAGATGAAAAAAGTGGGCCAGGCAGTGCCTCAATCTGAGCCCACTCACACCAAAGACTTAGGCTCATATCTCACACACTGTGTCCTGCAGTCTCCATCCTCACATGCCTCTGAGACTGAACCACTCTCCAGATAACAGGGAATTCCATTACACACCACATTACACAACAAAAACCACATCCCACAACCACAAATAATTAATCTGACAAGAGAAGATGTGCACTCAGCACATGTGAGAGTGTGCTTAGACTCCACAATTATTCATGAACATGAGCACATACAGCACTTATCGCTTCCTCTTGTCTTTCTTTTGCAGTTTATTTCGTACACAAAGGCACACAACTGTCCTTATTGTGATGATATCACCCTTGTTTTTACCCGGCATAACACTGCAATTTTGCCATTTCAATTTCTCTACATCATCATAAGGGAAATCCTTCTGTTTGAACTGTTTTGGTCGTTACTATTAAATCTGATATGGAAGCTAAGACATAAAACAAAAAAAATCAAATGATTGATACTAGCAGCTAAACATCTCCAAAAACATCTCACCTGTGATGCAAAATCCTTCCGCAGCTTTGTTCAGCATCGTTCCTCGGCGAAAACTGACTCGATTGAGACGGACAGACCCTCCTTTCCCATACTTCACGTTATCAGTTTAGGTAAACAACCATGGTAGCACAACATATAACATATGGCATCCGTGAATAAGGAAGTTAGTCCGCGCGTGCGGGAAGAACGGACTTTGTTCGCAGAGCTCTCCCCGCCATGGCACCGCTGCTGCGTCTGACAGGTAGATTTTACGCACAGTGTGGCACCGAGCTCAAGCTCCAAACAACTCCGACAGAGGCTCAGCTTACTTCCTGTAACTGATTGGGTGTGTGCGGCGTGCTGAGAACTCCAACACAGACCACGGATTTGACATTTCCAAACTCTCTCCTCGTGTTGCCTGGGCGCCTTCCTCCAGAATTGTGTCTCACATGCTGGCTGATTTTGCGCCCCCCACTCCCCCCCACTGCAAGAGGTGGTACTATTTTGTCTTTGATGCATAAGCAGAGTGTTTGGAAAGAGGTTGGGTGCGTCCTGACAGAGCAACTGTATTGGTTAAGCCAGCATTTTCCCTTTGCAAATTCACTTGGTTCATGAAATAATTACATTGCTTGTTTAACTTGCATAGCTGAGTTTCAGTTTAAGTGTTATGCCTCCCTGCTGAGTACACCTACCACATGAACACAGCGCAGCACAAAAACTTCACAGCTCATCTTTAATAAAGGTCTCCCTCTGCTGCATGTATTTTTGGATTCTCCTTCCTCATATTTTTTTCAAGTTTTTCCTTATAACTGAAAAAATGTGCCAATCTAACTTAATTTCCTTGTCCATGCAGCTATGTGCATGACTCTGATTTAATTCCAAAAATAGCTCAGGTCCACACCACTATCACATTCATTGCGCATTTAAATTTGATGAATATTTCAGGCAAATCCCATGCATTTATCATGAGCCTGCCAATTTGGTTATGCCTTTAACCCCTCTCTGCTAAGCTGCTTATGATTTCCATGCCACAATTTATCATTGTAAACACTGTTTACATAACATTAATATGGATGTGTTTCTCATGCGGGCAAATGGGCAACATAATAGATTCAACACAGGAAAACTAAACCTCATTTATTTTCCTCCCACATGGAGAATAATCATGACTACAGTATTTACAGTGCTGCTGTCTGTGGTGTAGACTCATGTAAAACACTAAAATAAGCACCTATCAGAGGCTGTAATGCAATGCCAAGAACCTAAAAGACTGATATACTGCCTCTGAACACTGGACACATATCTTATTCAGAAGGAGCACTCTGTTCCACAGGCTCATAAAAATGTCTGGAGTTAATAATGTGCAAGCCCAGGCTCTGTCACTTTCACTGGGAGATATGCATTAAGGTGCTGATGGACACTTTATGGGGGAAACATGGGGCTGCATTTATAAAAGCGGACACACATGAGCTGCGTCTCATTCTCTCCCTCAGAGTCACCTTGTGTTCACATGCAAGAGGGGATGTGGCATAACAGCCCCTTCGTCTCCGTGATGGATACCACTCCCTCAGGAGATGAGTATATTACAAGAGGGGGCGAGGAGGGGAGCAGAACCTGCAACCGTTTATCCATTATTCCAGATCTTTCTCTCTCTCTATCCATCAGCCTTCGCAACAGGATGCAGAATACAATTTTCTAACAAAGATCTATGTCATAAAATTGCACTGAAAGACCAAGAGAGTCCAACATATCCAGATTTGAAATGTGTAACTCAGTGGCCTCACATTCAGCATAGTTTATGAGAGAAAAAGATTTCTCCTTGGACCAGGCTCTTTTCTGTAGATGGACTGTGAATATTTATGGTCCTCACTGTGCCCCTTATTATCTGCTCCATTTTCCACTCTATATTTAGACATGGTGTCACTATGAAACAGATGCACTATTTGTCAAGTGTTTCCCCCCTCAGAGTCTTGTAATTTCCAGAAACCAAACAGCTGATTACGGATAAATATGCAGGTACTTGACAAAGAGCAACAACAAAGCAAAAAATGTTCTTACAGTCTGCCGTTTATTATCTCTCTCTCTCCTCCACCCCGTTGGATATCTCGGCCAACTCTTGACACCGTGAACTTTCCTGAGGCCCATTAACCGTCTTTAATCATTCAAACACTTTTGGGAATTCATCAGGCTAATCCGATTGGCAGGAAAAGTATCAAAGCACTTAATTTGATCTGGCCTAGTCGGCTTTTACCAAGAAAAGGGGGGATTTAAGCAGCTTTTCCCACATGGACGTTCTGTACTTTATTTCCTGTTTTATTAAACACTTTAACAAGCATATGCCAACAGGGCTCTTCTAACCACAGACCCGACCCATGGGAGTGATGAAAATGAACAAAAATCCACAATTTAATCAGTTTGGATGGATGAACACAATAAAGTGAAACAGAATAACATGGAACATTTACATACAAGACTTTTTTTATATTAAAGGATGTGTCAAGACCAGACATAAAACCCAAGACAGATTTAGCAAGTAGATTTCAAACCCTCCCCCAACCCCCTCCCATCTTTCTTGTATCTAAGAAAAGCTGAGCCCCCACAGGACTCACCCAAAAACAATCCATTGCTGTCAAAAATTAACATAACATTTTCATTGTTTTCAGTGATAAATCCCAAAAGAATAGGCCAACTGTAAAACTTGTTCTTCCCAAAATAACTTTGTACCAACTCTTACAGTGTTCTTTTTTTTCTTTAACTTTATTATTTGTAAAAGATTGAAAAGGGAACATAGCTCATCATAGGAGGTTAGAAGGTCTTTGCTGTAAGCAGGGGCCTGGTGGTCATGTTGAGCCTTAAAAGTAAGCAATTAAGTATTAAAAATCAATACAGAAAACGACAGGAAGCCAAGGAAGGGAGGCTAGAATTTGACATATTATGATCTTGTTTTCTTGAACCAGGGATAATTCTAACTGCAGCAATTTTGACCTATGAAAGGAGGCGGAGGGAACCAGAGTAAAAACCGAGGACAGAACAAAAGCCATAACAACCCTGTGTAATTCCTCAAAGGATACAGTAGAAATTAGCCAAGCTGAAAATCGTTCTAAAGCTGGACATATACTGTATATGATCATCTCTGTTTTAAAATGATTACATTTAAGGACAGTTTGAGAAATAGTTTGAGAATCCTGCTTTTCAACATATTTGAAAAGCAGGCTTGGAAGTTAAATCAGACTGCTGTCTTTGTTGTAGACATGTTATTGTTATTGTTTTTCAGGCACATTTTTTAATCATCTTGTATCAGTTTCACTCACAAGAGCCAACCAATTTTTATATTTGTCTTTTTATTGTATTTTTTTTAAATAGTGCTACTGGTGTTCATTACAGAAATAAAATGCTCTTGCGTTCAGCAACAGAAAACAGTTGGCAGAAAACAGCAGGACTTTATACCTGCAGTGCCAGGTTCAGGTGCAAGATCAGGAGGAGTTTTGGCATATGGGAGGGTTTTGACAGGAGCAGAGGATGGACCGTCTTCCAGTCACGCTGCAAGCCTGCAACTGAAAGCTCACATTTGAAGAGCCAAACACTGCCTCATATTCAGCTCCTGACTCAATGTAAAATGAGCTGGCCAGGAAGCAGATGACGGCGTCATGCACTATTAGGGGCAGAAAAAGAGAGAGAGTATGTAAATTACACTTGGTGATGAATAAGATAGTAGGTAGGTGAGGGAATAAATAACAGATCAAGCTGAACACCTTCAGGCAGTGGGTATTTCTTTCAAAGGAGCAAAAGCTCTTTTGAAAAGCTCAATTTGTTTACCAGGAAACAATGCTGTTATGCTCCCACAGAATTAACTTCAGAAAGCAATATAACCAAACTTCACTTTAGTTATTTGTTGAGGTCTAATAGTAAAGTCTAGCGGTCTGCAGGGCATTAAAAGAAATGGATTTATTGCCTGCTTACATCCTGAGGAAATGAAAATGAGTTTGACTCCTACAGTAGGTTGTCATAATGAAAAACATAATAGTCGGTGAATGCCAACATTATGAGAAGCAATTCCATTAAAGTGTTTGAAAGTTGCACAGTACGTGACTTTTCAAGGTCCTTGGACAAATGTTTAATCAGAATATTAGCAGGGTGTGTTTGGATGTTAGCCCAAGTTGCGGGGCAAACGGGGAGAATGGATGTGCGACGAGTCCCGAGGGACCAGCAGAAGCTTTTGGCTTTGCAGTTCTCTTAACTCACAAATGCGATATGTGTCGAATTAGTTGAGAGAGCTCCATCAGGAGGTGAAAGGTCAGAGTTTGTCATCCACGGTTTCAGACAGAAGTACCACTTTGTAGCTGTACCCTTCACCTGTACCCACATATCCCTTTAGCAGAGCGTAAAAAATGCAAAGTGTGCAACTTGGGAGAGAGCCAGTCTGCGGCGGCTGCAGTTAACGTCAATCATAATTGAACTTCCTCCCACAGAAGGAAAGTGAACGAGGACAGTGGGGAGCTTCTCATCTTCACAGATCGCTGGCACTGGTACAGCAGCAGACCGCTGCACTCCAGAGAAACGCCGTGTTTCAGATTAATGGCATTCTCTGTGGCAAGATTTGAAAACTTCCATTAATGGAACACCAATGATAATTTATTTGGACAGGCGAGCTGCTTCTCTGTGAATAATGAAGTGGGCCTGGGATCATTAAAATGATGGATTTCCTCTAATGTGATGATGCTGTGCCAGCTTGAAAAAAATATAATCGCAATGTACATTGTTTGCATTATTGATCTGTTGACTGAAAACAGCCATGACTTGATACAAGAACCATGCCTCTCTTGTATAAGATTAAAATTTACAAGAAATAATACCTGAGGTTTGCATTTTAATATTAGAAATACGCAATGTGACTGCTGTAGGATTTGAAGATATGGTTTCATCCTGTCTTTATTAGTCCAATCTAAAGAGGCAACAGTTAAATGTGTTTTACCAGAGCTGCTGTACTCTGCTAGGTTTAAGCTCCTGTCTTGGAGACTTCTTTCTTCTTTGAATGGATTAAAGCGTTCATTAAAAAGCAGAGGATTTAACCTCTTCAGTGTGCTTCTATAAGCAAAACAGAGCTCAAACAAAGACAGATTTTCCCGTTCCGTCAGCGGTGCTCGGCTGCTGTGGAATAGCTATAAATAGGTGATGGTATGGAGCTGCTGCAGGTTAAGCAGAGAGGCTCGCTGAGGGCGTGGGTGACTCATTGCCTCGTCTCATTGCATTATGTCAGTTACCTGGTGTCTGCACCTGCCACAACACCTCCTACCTACACCTCAAAAGCACTGACTCACAACATAAACAAGAGCCTGTTACACTGTACTGAACAAATATTCTTCAGATTTTCCAAGCAGCTATGATTTTCTTTTTTTCTAAATTGCAATTGAATAAATTACCACATCTAATGTAAAAGGCTCTTAGTGAATAAATATTCTCTT